AGTAATCTGCAATATTGCACTGGGTGGCCAAAGCATCAGCACTGTTCACATTTTTGGAGTGTTGGTTTTAGCTCTCTCACTTTTATATACTGTTCTGCAATGTAGACCGAACATAGGTCTTGGCAGTCAGAGGATAGTTTAGCTACACTGCTCAAATATCATCTATGTCTATGGGCTAGATAAAGAAAAGTTTGTTTTGGTGATGAGGATATGATGTAACCTCAGTTGTTCTTCAATGTTCATGCTACATTCTATACATTTTTATCAAAGTAATGTACTGTATAAGATGATAACAGTCACACCCAAGGTTCAAGCTGAGGAAAGTCTCTGTATTCTGACTGGGACATTGACAATAATGCAGACAAGAGAAAGGCTGGTGGCCTGGTTGGTATTATTTATGGTGACTATACACATCCTGCTCCTTAAAGCTTGGAAAGAGATATTTTGGTGAATGGCAATCATGAATACCTTGCTAATACAAAGGTCTGCATGGTATGTCTTAGAGTTTGTTAAAAGGAAGGAAAAGAATTTTGTCCAGTTTTGTTTTCTATTATCTAAAGAGGAAGTGGAGGCTTCCAGTTAGTCTGTTTCTTAGAATGTTAGCATGTTATACAGGAGTTAGTGGAGGCAAGCAGTTTTTATGATTTGGTGAATGAGCAGGGTAACATAAATGAAGGAATTCAGGTAAAATGATAAACCAGACTTGAATGCTAGTGTGAGGTAGAGTGGCTGCATGCTGGAGGAGAGGTGAGGATGTTGCTGCTTGGAGAGTCATCTGAATTATGATGTCAGCATGTTTCTGGCAATACAGCTGTTGTATGAGTGACAGTGAGTTCCCTCTTTTTTATGTCAGTCTGCCTCAGCTGGCCAGAAACATATGACTGTGTGTGTGTTCAAAGACGCATGTGTGCATGTGTGTGCGCGAATGTGTGTGTGTACACATGTCTGTGCGTGTGTGCATGCGTGTATGCGCGTGTGTGCATGCGTGTATGCATGTGTGTGCATGCATACATGTATGCATGTGTCAGCAATTTACCTCATTTTCTACTGACAAATCTACACCCAAACAACTTTATACATTCACTTTCTCTCTATACTTTCCCTCCAACCTGAGAACTAATCTCTCACTGCCTAGACATCTTACTCTCATTGCTTTGTTTTCTTGTGCATTAAAAACTCCTTTTCTTATACATCCTCCTAACTCAATCACCTGATTTTGGAAATTCTCTGCTGCATCTACCAAAAGCATTCACTTGCTTTACAGCACCATCTATAAATATATTAACACAACAAGGTTAACACACCACATTCTTGTCTGAAGACCAATCATACTGGAAAAGTTTCCTTTCATCCTAGATACCATAACTTTAGTTTCACTCTCCTCGAAAAACTTCAGAGTTTTTATTAACCTAATGTCTATTCCATACATTTGCAACACCCAGCACACTGATTCCCTGTTCACCTTATCACACACCACAAGCCCATAAATGTGACAAAATGCTAATTACCCTTAACACTTTCACTGTCGAGACCCCTGATCTCGAACTCTCACTCAGTGTTGAAGAATTTAAAAAAAAAAAAAAAATTCTTATGAAATGAAAGTCTTTTCCCAATGGTAATGACACCAAAAGTATGAAATTTGAAGAAAACACATGGAATTACGCTCTCGCGAAGTTAGTGGTCTCGGTGATATATATGCATCAGCGAATTTGAAAACTTTGAGCCCTATTTTTGGCCAATTCCACTGTTCCAGTCGACCAAACTCATAGCTATTTCTTTAAAACTCCACTTGTTCTATTGACTGAGTACAAGAAACCACCCATTTACAGATTTCAACTACCCAATAAAGTGGTCAGAAATTGGCAATTTGGCCAATTTCACGCAAATTTCAGACGATGCCAATTTCAAAATAGGGTCCAGACTAAACGATGCAGACATTCCTGGCACTAAAATAACATTTTCTCTGTTCATTACTCACATCTCAAGGCCCCTATTATATTGCTCTTGCTTTCCATTTTGAATTTTTATTCACACAAAAAATAGAAGATTTATTGTTATGCAAACTACTGCATTATTATATACGTAATTGTATATGTAATGTCAATCCATTTGTGACTGCATATTAGTTGGTCAGTTGGACATATATTGGATGGTGATGTCATTTGTTTACTCTTGAACATTGGCAAAAATCAAACATTTCTGATACTTTGAGCTCAATTTCAAGATACTTTTCATTGTGAAGCCAATCAAAATCATCTCTATTTCTGTAACATGTCTTCCATTCTATCAAATGCGACCAAGAAAATAAGAATACAATCATAAATACCATACGAAAATACACCTCAAAGTCGGCGTTTTAATCCAAAAACACAATCGGAGTTTTTTTCTCATTATGCACTATGTGCTGCAGGATTTTTTTATACTGCGCACACTGACCAAACAGACCTATTCTCTCACATGCAGATCTACCAGCATTCTCCTGCTAGATTTGAAGCAGCTAGAATTTTGGGGTATTAATATGTCACCAACATTGGCTTCAAATGCAACTAATATGACATTTTATTGTGGCAAATCAAGTCACAATAAAATGTCATATTAGTTGCAACTGTGTCCTTTTACGTAACATATTGCTAGTAATTCTACCAATATTAATGCAACACTGGCTTGTAAGACGTAACTATATGGCACCAACAGTGAAAGGGTTAAATAAGTATTGCTTGTGTGATGCTTTTCAATTAGTGGAGAGATGATTATATCCTCACAGCTACTGCTGAATAATGAACATGGGTTTAAATGATCTGTATATATAACTATAATAATGTTCACTTACATGCTTCAATCTAAGCACCTGGTCCACCCCTTATCCCCAGCTTTTCTAAATTCATTTTGTTTGTGTACAGTCCTACTCTTTGTCTAACCTGCATTTTGTTCTTGTGTAATCCTACTCTTTGTCTATCCTGAATTTATCCCCATAACTGATACACACTCTCGGTCCCTTTCCCTTGATAAAAATAAATTAGATGTACTTTCTGCTTACCCATACTAATAAGGAGAGCTAAGGAAAACAAAAAGGAATGGGGAACAGGCAAAAGGAGTGAGGAATAGCTACAAGAGAGAACAGAAAATGAATAAGTAATAGGGGGGAAAAAGGAATTCAGGAATAAGGAAAAGGGGGGTTGAAGAACAAGGAAACGAGGGGGTTAGGAATAAGAAAAATGGGGAGTGAGGAATAAGGGAAATGGGGAGTGAGGAATATGGGAAAAGGGGAGGGAGAAATAAGAGAAATGGGGAGGAATATGGGAAAAAGGGAGAGAGGAATAAGGGAAAGAGGGGTGAGGAATAAGGAGAGGAGAGAGGAATAAGGAAAAGAAGAGAGGAAGGGAGGGGCTGTAAATACTGACTGGGTTAAAATATGAGACTAGGTCATATAGAGCATGATAATGCAAGTATAAAAGTTATATATAACAAAGACTGTACAGTGAGAACACAGCACATGTTTGCTTGAGGTGTACTGTAGCAACAATACCAGTGAAGGTTATACAATATTCTCACTTCATCAAGGAGGATGTGTACTAATCTTTCATAAAATTCCCCTCAAACAGGTGTTTGTGTGAAGCCGATGCTAGTTTGTTCATTCCAACAGCATCATTTTTGGTATTAATACATAATGACAAACAATTACAACAAAAAATATACTGCGGCATTAATAAATAAGAGTACAGGTATTCATGTTTGAGCTTACACCAAGAGTATGGCTGCAGGTGGCATAAAGAGGTGTATGTCATCTACTCTTAATACACACACTCTCCACTTACCGGTAGTCTTCACTTATCCACATATGTGTTTTTCATATTGAGTTACATATAAAAATACTGCATAGCTAATCATGCATTTCAAGAAGCAAGTAACACGCTAGTAGTTAAACCAGATATCAAGTAAGGTAAACCAGATATCAAGTAAGGTAAACCAGATATCAAGTAAATAAATAAAAGAAGGACTGGACTACAAGCACACAGCATAAGTTAATAAACACAGGTCTCACTCACACCTGTTATACTTTCCTACACTCTATGTGTAAAACAGGACACCTGGAGAGTTTGCATGCATAGTTAACTCTCATCATAGTGGATACCCATAATTCATCCAATCTTCATACAAAACAAGATGGTTGTATGCAAACACCCCTCTGCAACCCTGAGAATGAGATTACGTATTGGAGAAGCGGGCTGTACAAGCAAGACTTTGCTTGGGGTAAAGACGTTAAATGGCTCTAATAACTATTTTGATATTGTCTACTTGCTGATAGGCCTAGTCAATAGTATTGTCAGCCTATATGCAGCAGTGGGACTACAAGATCATAATTTACACCAGTGGCCTTAAGTCACTATAACTTAACACATATACACATTATATAAATATGTACATTTCTAGTATTACTAGTTTAATATACAATATTGGGTCACCCTGCCTCGGTGGGAGACGGCCGACTTGTTGAAAAAAAAAAAAAAAAACCCTGTTATCTACATATAGTACTTTGGATTTGTAATACCTGTCCTTGATAACTGGTACAAAACTAGAAACACACATCCCAATATTTTGTGATCTTATTCTTCCAGAGTACTATTATCATTTTATGAAAAACTAGGCCATTGTGTAAATAATATAAACACAGCACAAAGCTGCTGTTTATTTCCCATTTGAATTAGTCTTTGACAGTGCTATTGCATACCTTAAACATAATACTGTAATGCATACACACAAACTGCAAATAAAATCCTTGGTAAAAGCTATACATCACATTCAGTACAATAATAAAACTTATACAACAGACAAATAATTAGTTTAATATGTAACAAGCTGCTTTAAGTGTATTAACTCATCAATTCACCCCTTAATATTTAACCAATTAAATATAATATTGCCTTGGCATAAAACAATTACTTATCAGTTGTATTTTCTAACTGAAACACAAGAAAAATGAATAAATCAAACTTGGAGACTAAAGAAGTCATGATTTTTATTATTATTTCACTGGTTGCAGACTGAACTATACAAATTAGTATTAAATAAAGTTGCAACAAAATTCCTCTCTCAATTGTATCTGACTATAAATGTAGAAAGACTGTTAAATACAAACACAAATCTCGATACTTCTCTGCCTTAAAGATATTGACAATTATTAAGACAAACGTATGCACTCATTAAATATTCTGAGAATGTGCTTAAAAATACCAGTCATATACCCACTACATATTGAGTAAAACTGCTGATGGTAAAGATATGAGATATGCAATATGTAAAAAAAAAAAAAAAAAAAAAGAGAAAGTTAAATATTTCCATCTTTCCTCTGCATTAAACTTGTACTATTACTTCGTAAGAAGGAACTCTATTATATCAAATAATTTCTCATTACATGGCAATTTCAAGTAAAGGAGAGACCTCTTTTCATGAGGGTGGCCTGGTAGCGTGCCTGTGCAGGGTTGACAAGAGCCAGTAACTGTTGTACGAGGTCATGGATCTTCAGGGAGGGTCCTACCTTCATTCCTGTCAAGCCCATTACGTCATTTTGGGAGAGTGTTAACAGCTGCGACCCATGGATATTCTGCAGGATTAGCAACACAAAAATCTACATTAACCTTTCATGTTATTTTTTCAAATTGGCCAATTATTAGGCCCAACAGACCACTAACAATGAACAAATTATAGATGAGAGGGAAGAGAGAATAGTGGATGAAGTTAAAACATATTTCCTCAGAACAAATGCTCTACAAAAAGTGAAGCTAGGTTTCTCAATACCAATAACTTTAATCATACTGTATTGTACTGAAAAAAAAAACATACAAATAATTTTTTACACAATTATGCTTTGCTTACTACAGTTGGGAAATGTAGGCTAGTAACTTAATATCTTCATATTAACCCTTAAACGGTCCAAACAGATCGACGTTCAAATTCGTAGTGCTCCAACAGTAGATCTACTTTTTTTTACATATTTTCAAATATAACAAAAAAAAATGTAGATAAAAGTTTTTTTTACACGTTTTCAAATGTAAAACAAAAAAGATGATCTACATTTTTTTACATACTTTCAGATGTTGAAAAAACGTATATATACGTTTGAACCATTTAAGGGTTAAGGTAACATTTGCAAAGGGAGTCAGGGAAACAGGTAGGCCGGACTTGAGTCCTAGAGATGGGAAGTACAGTATCTGCACTCAGCAGGAGGGGTGTAATGTTGCAGTTTTATAACTGTAATGTAAGCGTGACTCTGACAAGACAGTGATGGAGTGAATGATGAAAGTTTTTCTTTTCCAGGCCACCCTGCCTTGGGGGAAACGGCCCATGTGTTAATAAAAAAAAATATAATGTCTGCCTATTACGGCAGCAGGGTTTTTGCTCCTCTCTTTTACATTCACTAGAGGTTCCTAACAACCCTGTGATAGCCTAGCAAGGACTCATGTAATACTAACATACATGGAGACCCAGAATAATGTAAATCAGCTGCAGAAATCATCCGAATAACACTACAGTGGATCCCCAAGTTTCGTGATTAACCCTTTCGGGGTCCGTGCCGTAGATCTACGGCTTTATGTTCAATGTCCAAACCGTAGATCTACACCATGAGCTCAGCACACTCTGATAAGCTGTGAGTGGTAAATTTGGGCCAAGATATGAGAGAATACATCTATGTGGTATGTGTGCACCACATAAAACAAAACCTGCAGCACACAGTGTATAATGAGAGAAAAGAAACTGAGACTGATTTTCAATTAAAACAGTGACTTTGCAGTGTTTTTTCATGTGTTTTTTATAGTTGTATTTGCAATTTCTTGGTCTCATTTGATAGAATGGAAGACATATTACAGAAATAGAGATGATTTTGATTGGTTTTAGCACTGGAAATGGCTTGAAACTGAGCTCAAAGTAAAGGAAATGTTAAATTTTTGCGGCTGTTCAAGAGTAAACAAACGACCTCACACGTCTAATACACGCCAGCTGGTGGGTATAATATACATTCACAAATGTGATGATGATATTTATACAATTATTACAATATTGCATACCAGTAAATCTTCTATTTTTTGGTTTGAATAAAAATTCATTATGTGAATAAAAAATCAAAATGGAATTCATTTGTAAAGCCTCAAAACATAACTAATGAATAGAGGAAATGTTAGTTTAGTGCCAGGAATACCTACATTGTTTATTCTGGACCCTATTTTGAAATTGGAATATTTTGAACTTTGTGTTAAATTGGCCAAATTACCAATTTCCAATCGCTTTATTTTGTAGTTGAAACAGTTGACTTGGCGATTTCTTGTGCTCAATCGATAGAACAGAAGTAATACTAGTGAAATAACTAAGAATTTGGTCGACTGGAATTATGTAATTGGCATAAAATGGGAGTCAAAGTCGGCAAAATTGCCGATTCGTAAATATCGCTGACACATCAAAATTCGCGAGAGCATAATTTTGTCAATTTTCCATCAAATTTCGTACTTTTTGTTTTATTACCTTCAGAAAAAGATTCTCTACCATTTAATAAGAAAAAATAATAATTTTTTTTTTTTAAATTCTTGGACCCTGGTGTGCACTTTGAAATTTGGCCTCTGGACCCTGAAAGGGTTAAGCCGTTCCAGAGTGTCTGCCGAAAGTTGAAATTCACAAAACTCAAAACCACTTTCCCCATAAGAAATAATGTAAACCCAATTAATCCGTTCCAGACACCCAAATGTATTAACAAAAATAATTTTTTTTATAGATTAAATATAGATTTACATACATAAAAGAATGAGAAATCATGTATAAAACAATATATGTAATAACATCACACTTACCTTTATTGAAGACTCTTGTTGGTGTATGGAACACAAGAAAGCAGGAACACTGCAGCAGACCTGTTGGCCCACACTAGGCAGGTCCTTCACAAACTATCCCACTAACAGAATATTTGCCCAACCCAATTTTCAATGCTGCCCAAGAAATAAGCTTTCATAATTCTATTCAGGTTTCCATTTTACACTCACCAGGGAGGTACTACCGTCCTGCCAAGTGAGTGTAAAGGAGGGGTTCGGGATATTGGGAGTTTGGAGGGATATGTTGTGTATCTTTATACGTATATGCTTCTAAACTGTTGTATTTTGGGCACCTCAGCAAAAAGAGTGATTATGTGTGAGTGAGGTGAAAGTGTTGAATGATGATGAAAGTATTTTCTTTTTGGGGATTTTCTTTCTTTTTGGGTCACCCTGCCTTGGTGGGAGACAGCCGACTTGTTAAAAAAAAAAAAAATTCTTATTTGGTTCCCATACTGTCATCCCTGATTTACCTGTGACCTGTTTAGAGGACTCTTCTACACATACAGCTTGACCTGAAACCAGGCTTTCCAATTTTGATATTTTGAAATTTCTTCAATTAAAATTAGGCGAGACTACATAAAGCTATAAAAACATATACAGCAAGGCCCCACTTATACGGCAGGTTGGGTTCCAGGCCACCACCGTATAATGGATTGCAATTTTTTCCACTTATAAATGCATATAATGCCAGTTAATGAGTTTACTCTAATATACATTAAGTTAACAATAGAACTAGGCATTAAAACAATAAAAAGTAAAATACGTACACAGTACATTCATTACTTTAAAATATTTGTAATCTTCATGTAGTGTGTGAGGTAAATAGTATTTATTGTAGGAAGTCAGGAGTGGTAGGTATGGTAGCCTGAATGGCTACCACACCTACACGTAATATACGATATTTACAGTGATTCAGTGATAAAATAAACATACAGTACACTCATTACTTTCCTTAAAATATGTGTTATCTTAATGAAGGGTGAGAGGTGAGTATTCATGTGTGGGAGCTCCTACGAGAGATAAAACGCTGAGAACTGTGAACAATTCTATAGTGTCCACATTTTCATTGGTGTTGGACTAGAGAAAAGATCATTCTTGCTTTCACTCCGACACGCCGCCCAGTTACCACATCTCATACTAGTCAAATTTATTCTAATGAGTGTGTACATATCATGTGTATATGTTATGTAACATGTTTCTCATATAATTTTGAAAGGAATATCATAGATGGATTAATGAATATGTTTATAGTTACATAATATATGACATTTAAAGGGCCCCATAGCGATTATCATTATTATTATATTATTAATATGGCGTCTTCAAGACTAGTGAGACACACTTAATGAGCAGGGTAATATTTTGTGAAGGGATTCAGGGAAACCGGTTTGCCGAACATGAGTCCTGGAAATGAGAAGGACAATGCCTACACGTAACCCGTAAATGGTCCAAACGTATATATGCGTTTTTACCGCTAGTGCCCCAAACGTATATATTTTTTTTTTTCAACAAGTCGGCCGTCTCCCACCAAGGCAGGGTGACCCAAAAAGAAAGAAAATCCCTAGAAAGAAAATACTTTCAAAATCATTCAACACTTTCACCTCACTCACACATAATCACTGTTTTTGCAGAGGTGCTCAGAACACAACAGTTTAGAAGCATATACGTATAAAGATGCACAACATATCCCTCCAAACTGCTAATATCCCAAAACCCCTCCTTTAGAGTGCAGGCATTGTACTTCCCATTTCCAGGTTACAAATCTGGCTACATAAAAATAACTGGTTCCCCTGAATCCCTTCACTAAACATTACCCTGCTCACACTCCAACAGATCGTCAGGTAAGTACTGACTCTAAAAAAAAAATTTTTTTATCCTATAACACTTAAAAAATGTGCTCTTTTTTTTCAATAAAAAAAAATGATTTTTTTATTTTTCAAAATATTCGGGGCACTGGGGTAGTGAATGTATATACAGTGGTCCCTCAATAATCGTCCATAATCCGTTCCTGGAAGTGGGACTATTATCGAAATGGACGATTTTCGAATCAATTTTCCCCATAAGAAATAATGTAAATCCAATTAATTCGTTCCAGACACCTAGAAGTATCAAAAAAAAAATTTTTTTTTGCCTAAAAGATAGATTTACATGCACAAAAGAATGAACATTCAACATGACAGTTACCTTTATTGAAGGCTGTTGTTGATGAATAGAAGATAGGGAGGAGGAGAGAGGGAAGAGAGGTTATTTGGAAGGGGAATCCCCCTCCATAAGGACTCTAGGGCACTAATAAAATGTATAAATGAACATTGGTAATAGGGGTAGTTGATGAGTGGAATGGTCTGCCTAGTAGGGTGATCGAAGCTAAAACATTGGGTAGTTTCAAATTTAGGTTGGATAAATACACGAGTGAGAGGGGTTGGATTTGAGTCGGACTTGCACCTGAGCTTATTGCTTGGGTAGCATTTGTTCTGTTGTTAGGTAAGACACATATGCAACAGTTAGACAACTTTATTCCGAAACGTTTCGCCTACACGGTAGGCTTCTTCAGTCAAATACAGAAAGTAGGCAGGAACAGTAGAGATGTGAAGACGATGTAATCAGTCCATCACCCTTGAAGTCGTAGAATTTGAGGTTGTCAGTCCCTCGGCCTGGAGAAGTTCAGTTCCATAGTCAGGAACTATCTGAAGATCAAGCGACAGTGCGGAGACTTAAATACTGTCGGAAGGAGAGGTGCAGAGTAGTAGTAGTAGTAGTAGTAGTAGTAGTGAGAATGTAGCCACTGAGAGGTCATGTCCCTCTCAGATCCAACACTTCTCACTTGAAAAGCTTGTCCAAGGTGTTTTCTGTACAAGATGCCATGTGTTGCAGTGTCTGACAAGATGAACATCAAAATGGTATACAATACCAACAGGTTGTTAGGTAAGACACATATGCAACAGTTAGACAACTTTATTCCGAAATGTTTTGCCTACACAGTAGGCTTTTTCAGTCGAATACAGAAAGTAGGCAGGAACAGTAGAGATGTGAAGACGATGTAATCAGTCCATCACCCTTGTAGTCGTAGAATTTGAGGTTGTCAGTCCCTCGGCCTGGAGAAGTTCAGTTCCATAGTCAGGAACTATCTGAAGATCAAGCGACAGTGCGGAGACTTAAATACTGTCGGAAGGAGAGGTGCAGAATAGTAGTAGTAGTAGTGAGAATGTAGCCACTACTACTACTACTACTCTGCACCTCTCCTTCCGACAGTATTTAAGTCTCCGCACTGTCGCTTGATCTACAGATAGTTTCCTGACTATGGAACTGAACTTCCCAGGCCGAGGGACTGACAACCTCAAATTCTACGACTTCAAGGGTGATGGACTGATTACATCGTCTTCACATCTCTACTGTTCCTGCCTACTTTCTGTATTCGACTGAAGAAGCCTACTGTGTAGGTGAAACGTTTCGGAATGAAGTTGTCTAACTGTTGCATATGTGTCTTACCTAACAACCTGTCAGTATTGTATACCATTTTGATGTTCATCTTGTCAGACACTGCAACACATGGCATCTTGGTACAGAAACACCATGGAAAGCTTTTCAAGTGAGAAGTGTTGGATCTGAGAGGGACATGACCTCTCAGTGGCTAAAATTCTCACTACTACTACTATGCACCTCTCCTTCCCAAAACAGTATTTAAGTCTCCGCACTGCCCTTTGATCTTCAGTAGTTCTGACTTGGAACTGAACTTCTCCAGGCCGGGGGATGACAACCTAAATTTTACGACTTAAAGGGGTGAGGGGACTGTTACACGTCTTCCCATCTCTACTTTCCTGCCTACTTTCTGTATTCGACTGAAAAACCTACTGTGAGGCAAAACGTTTGGGAATAAGTTTCAAAATGTTGCATATGTGTCTTCCCTAACAACCTGTCGGTATTGTAACCATTTTGTGTTCATCTTGTCAAACCTGCAACACAGGGCATCTTGGTACAGAAAACACCTTGGAAAAGCTTTCAAGTGAGAAGGGTTGGATTGGAGGGACATACCCTCAGGGGCTACTTTCTCATACTATACTACTACTCTGACCTCCCCTTTCCGACAGTATTTAAGCCCCCCCGAGGGTCGCTGTCTTCAAATATGGAACTGAAGTTCCCGGGCCCGAGGGACTGACAACCTCAAATTCTACGACTTCAAGGGGATGGATGATTACACGTCTTCCATCTCTATGTTCCTGCCTACTTTCTGATTCGATGAAGAAGCCTATGTGTAGGCGAAACTTTTCGGAATAAAGTTGTCTAACTGTTGCATAGTGTCTTACCTAAAACCCTGCGGTATTGTATACCATTTTTTTTCGCATTTGTTCTTTTAGTGGGTTGGATTTGTGAAGGCCCGGCCTAGTAGGGGCCAAACGGCTTATTGCAGTGTTCCTCCTTTCCAATGTTCTAAAAGCATGGCTTGGGAGTTTTTAAAATTTTGGGTGGAAAATAATGAGGAGGGGGTTGGATTTGAGTCGGCTTGCACCTGAGTTTATTGCTTGGGGAGCCTTTGTTTGTAGTGGGTTGGATTTGTAAGGAAGGCCCAGTATGGGCCCGCAGGCCCGTTCCCGTGTTTCCCACTTTTTTAAGTTCTTATTTTAACCCTCAACTTACCCGTAGGGTGATGAGGCTAGGGGCCTTGGGTACTTAAGAAAGATTGGGGCAAATTAAAGTTGGAGGGCTGAGTTTGATTTGTGCATTGGGTATGGGTAAATTTTTGGGTAGCTTTGGGTGGAGGGGCATTTTGATAAGGGCCTGCCTTGTATGGGCCCGTAGCCCGCAGTTTCTTCTTGTTATGTTCTTATTGGCTATTTTTGTGTGAGGGGGGGGATGGCAAGTTTATTGTTGGGAATATACACTAATATCAACCAATGGCTTATTTTTTTATCACAATTCAACTAATATGACATAATAAACAATTTAATAACAAGAAACTGGGAAAATACTCTTGAAGAATAAAGTAATCATTACGTATGTCACGAGAGGTGTTGTGTTGTTGTTGGGTATATAAGGGCCACTGAGTGTAAGCCGTCCATAATGGTGGTGAAGCAGCAGCTGAGTCGGCGGTGGTTTTTGTAGCCCTATATAACTCCAACAACATTGGAGGAGTTGGTGTAGAATCACTGAATCACTAAGAAGGAACCCCTACCACCATCACTACGACCTTACATACCACTATACAACTGTTACCTTAATACCATTCAGAACTTACTAGTGCCTACCTTGAGAGTGTAAAACACTAAGAAATTAGAAAACCATTGTTTTTATACCTACACATAAGTAACGTACCACCATCACATACCTTCTACACCATCACTACTACATTTCCACCATCACTACCACAAAGAAAGCTTCTAGTGCCAGCCCTTTGGTAAAGAATGTGAGAAACACATTATTTATGAAAATTTTGTAGAAAAATACAAAGATGGTGGTGGTAGAGTGGAAGCAGTTGTGATAGTGGTTGATGAAATAAGATAAGAAGGAGTCACTGCAGCAGGCCTGTTGGCCATGCTCGGCAGGTCCTTTACAATTCATCCACTAACGAAACATTTTCCCACCCAGTCCTCAATGCTACCAGAAATAACTTCTGATAACTCTATCCACTCATTTGGGACTTGCAAGATGGCATAGAGTTATCAGAGCTTATTTCTTGGGTAGCATTGAGGACATGGGTTGGGAAAATGTTTCGTTAGTGGGATGAATTGTAAAGGACCTGCCGAGCATGGGCCAACAGGCCTGCTGCAGTGATCCTCCTTTCTTATGTTCATCAACCACTATCACAACTGCTTCCACTCTACCACCACCATCTTTGTATTTTTCTACAAACTTTTTCATAAATTATGTGTTTCTCACATTCTTTACCAAAGGGCTGGCACTAGAAGCTTTATTTGGAGCCATGGTAGCTTATTTAGCACTTGCAAGCACTAAAATCAATGGAATATTATGAAATATTTCGTAGGAGCATGTGAGGGGACTGTCACTCACTGGTAAACAATGGCACACTGGCTGGGAAGGAAAGGCCGAGGCGGCTCAGAGCGTGAGTACGCGTTCGGGACGAAGGACTATTAGCGAGTTACCGGACCATTTGCAAGCCAATATTTTGACGAAAAAACAGAACTATTTCCGAAATGGACGACTTTCAAGCCTGACGATTATTGAGGGACCACTGTATACGTTTGGACCGTTTACGGGTTAAAAGGAGGGGTTTGGGATACTGGCAGCTTGGAGGGACATCTAAATCATCGTATATGGGCACCTCTGCAAATACAGTGATTATGTATGAGTGATGGTGAAAGTTTTGATTGATGATGAAAGTTTTTTCTTTCTTTTTGGGTCACCCTGCCTTGGTGGGAAAAGGCCGACACGTTAAGGAAAAAAAAAAAAAACTGATGGCAAGAAGTGTGTTACAGGAAAATGAAGGTAAATGCTGACAGGAGCAAAGGCTAAAGTTCTTGAAAGTAGAAAGTAGAAGGATCAATTTTTGTACACTACAGAATAAGCAGACAAAATGTTGCAATCCAAGACTATACTGGGTTGTGAAGTATGGAAGAACAAGTAATTTAAATATGTGAGATTGGTTCCAAGGTAACATGGAACAATAGAGAGAGAAATAAAGAAAAGTAATAGTATAAAGAGTATGAATAATTGTTTTTAATGAGATGCTGAATGAAGAAAAAAATCATGTCAAGCAGTGTATGCATGAAGTTATTTGGGTTGTATTAGAAAACTGGTTGATAAAATGAAACTAGTCAAGCAGAAATGGCAATAAAGTTTTACAAGTTAATAAAAAAAAAATAAGAATTTTTAATTAATACATTAATTTCATGTAAATTAAAGGATGAAATATGTTGTTAGGTGCACTGTAACTGGATTATATAAAAGTGAGATGCTATAGTCTACCTTCAGTTTAACTGCAGACCCTAGTGATATATAACAAAGGGTTCATGGTAAAACACTGTAACTTTAAGGTTCACCTATGTCAAGAAGAAATTCAAATCATCTTACCTGTAATATAAAGTTATCGCAATATGCTCCACAATCATTTGTCTTTAGGAACTGAGCCACTTCTTGAGGGGTCCATAGTTTAGGCTTAACTTTCGATCCATCTTTAACTGGGCCATCTATTAGTCTTGGAATATAAGTAGTAATCTGAGATTCACTTTGTGTTTCAGATGATAATACAGACACTTGTGGGGTGCTGCTGGCTTGAGTGGTGACTGTGGAAGAAACTATGGGAGACTGTGACGTGCTTTTACTCTGCTGGAAGATACCATTCTTATGGTTTTGAGGCTGCACTGGAACTTGAGGTTTACTGGCATCTTTTGGAGTACTTGGTGTTGTGGTAGTTGTGTTAGGTTTCAATGAAGTAGACTGTGTGTTGTTACTTTTACTGACAGGCTGAGGAAGGCTGGACTGGATGTTGGCCTGCACACCAAGTTGGTTATCCTCTGAAACTGACTGGCTGTTGTTCAATACATGAGCGTCTTTAACTTGTCTCATAGATACCGGTTGACTGCTATTACCATGACTAAGCTTCTGATCCAACTGAACCGTTTGATTTCTGACATCCTGAACTTTATTTTCTGTTATACTAGAAGAAGTGAGGTCGTGTTGTGTGGAAATGCTCTGTAACTCTGTCTGTGGTAGCACAGGACTTACTGACGAGGGGTTACAAGATCTCTCATCCATGTCCCATGCTTCTCCAGAACTCTCATTCCCATCTAATGATGCAACACCAGAGGAGGTTTCATCTGCAATGTAAAATATAGTATATTACCAATACTGAGGAATTTATATTACAGACCAATATCAAATATGCCATTATAAAAAATATTGGAAAAAATTATTTAAAAACAATTACATTTTTACATGAAGAGCAAACAATATAGCATACTAGCATTAGAGTATCATGAAGACTGCTTGTTGAAGCATAAGAATATACTTGGACAGCAACATGAAACACAGGCAAGTGAGATGTGTATATTTCGGATTGACCCACACTTTAGTAAACCTGCTGAAGATGGTTTCTGAGAAAACACTAAAACAAACAAATTCATTTTATCTGTGTTTTATATTTTTTCCCAAATAGGTTTTCATGTCTTATACTACAACAGGTAATTACATTTACATGTTCTTAATCTCTGTCATGATAGTTTTAAACCCTCAAACACACACAAAATAAATCATAACTATGTACTGGTGCTGTTACCTTTGATATACCTTTGAAGAGTTTTGAGAGTTAATCTACTCTCTGAGCCCGGCCATGGGCCAGGCTTGTCTGGTGCTTGCCTGGTCAACCAGGCTGTTGCTGCTGGAGGCCTGCTGCCCCACATATCCATCACAGCCTGGTTGCTCTGGCACCTGGTGAAGATACTTGTCCAGTTTCCTCTTGAAGGCTTCTACACTTCTCCCAGCCGTGTTTCTGATATCTTCTGGTAAGATGATGAATAGTCTGGGACCCCGGATGTTGATACAGTTTTCCCTTATTGTCCCCACTGCACCCCTGCTCCTCACTGGGTTTATTTTACACTTCCTCTCATATCTCTCACTCCAGTATGTTGTTATGGCAGTGTGCAGATTTGGGACCAGGCCCACGAGTATTTTTCAGGTATATATTATCATGTATCTCTCTCTCTTCCACTCCAGTGAATACATGTTCAAGACTTGCAGGTGTTCCCAGTAGTTTAGGTGCATTACAGGCTCAATGTGAGCTGTAAACGATCTCTGTATTTGTTCCAGCTCCGATATTTCTCCTGTTTTGAACGGGGCCGTCAGCACTAAGCAATATTATAAGTGAGGGAGCACTAGTGATTTGAAGAGTGACACCATCTGCATTATTTCCCTTGTTTTGAAAGTTCTCAACACTCACCCCGTCATCTTCCTAGCTGTCGTGATCTTTGTCTTGTTATGCTCTTTAACCCTTTCAGGGTTTCCGAAGTACTAGTATGGTTTACGCACCAGGGTTATTGACGTACTAGTACGCCTAAATTCTAGTGCCTTGAAATCTAGCAAGAGAAAGCTGGTAGGCCTACATATGAAAGAATGGGTATATGTGGTCAGTGTGCACAGTATAAAAAAAATTCTGCAGCACAGAGTGCGTAACGAGAAAAAAAAAAAAACGACCATGTTTTTGGTTTAAAACAGCGAATTTATACTGTATTTTCGTATGGTATTTATGGTTGTATTCTAGTTTTCCTGGTCTCATTTTATAGAATAGAAGACATTTTATAGAAATTGAGATGATTTTGATTGGTTTCACAATAAAAAGCACCTTGAAATTGAGCTCAAAGTAGCAGAAATGTTCGATTTTTGCCAAAGTTCAAAAGAAAACAAATCATGCCACATGTCCAATACACATCAACTGGTGAGTCTAATATTCTTTCACAAGGGCACTGATATTATTTATACCATTTCTACACTAATGAAGTAGTCTGCATAACAGTAAATCTTCTATTTTTTTGTAAGAATAAAAATTCAAAGTGGAAAGCAAAAGAAATGTAAGAGGGGCCTGGAGACGTGACTAATGAACAGAGGAAATGTTATTTTAGTGCCAGGAACGTCTGTTTTGTTTATTCTGGAAACTACAGTGGACCCCAGCTTAACGATCACCTCCCAAGGCGACCAATTATGTAAGTGTATTTATGTAAGTGCGTTTGTACGTGTATGTTTGGGGGTCTGAAATGGACTAATCTACTTCACAATATTTCTTATGGGAACAAATTCGGTCAGTACTGGCACCTGAACATACTTCTGGAATGAAAAAATATCGTTAACCGGGGGTCCACTGTATTTGGAAATTGGCATCTTTTGAAATTTGTGTGAAATTGCAAAATTGCTAATTTCTGACCACTTTATTGGATAGTTGAAATTGGTAAATAGGAGGTTTCTTTTACTCATTCGATAGAAAAAATGGAGTTCTACCGAAATAGTTATGATTTTTGTCGACTAGTACACTGGAATTGGCTGAAAATAGGGCTTAAAGTGGGTAAAATCGTCGATGCGTAAACAATGTAAAGACCACTAACATTGCGAGAGCATAATTCCGTAAGTTTTCCATCAAATTTCATACTTTTGGTGTCATTATGATCGGGAAAAGATTCTCTATCTTTTCATAAGAAAATTTTTTTTTTTTTCCGAAAAATTTTCGACCCTGAGAACAAGTTTAGGAGAGGGCCTCTCGACTCTGAAAGGGTTAAAAGAAAGGTCCGCTGACATAATTATTCCCAGGTCTTTTATGTGTTCCTTACGTCTCTATTTGGTGACCCTCTTGAGTTTTGTATATAGTGTTCCTTTTGAGTTCTTCATTCTTTCCATACCTAAGCAGCTGGAACTTATCACCATTGAACATCATGTTGTTCTCCACTGCCCACTGGAAAACCTTGTTTATGTCTTCCTGTACTTTTTCGGTGTCCTCTACCATAGTGACTTTCATGTTTATTTTAGTGTCATCTGCAACTGATGATACAAAAGTGTGCCGGGTGTTATTGTCTATGTCTGCTATGAGGATGAGGAACAGCAGAGGTGCCAGGACAGTCACTTGGGGCACTGAGCTTTTGACCTCGCTTTTGCCCTGTTCACTACTACTTTTTGTGTTGTGTGTGTTATGAACCCGAAAATCCATCTGCCTACCTTCCCAGTAATGCCCATGGCCTTCATTTTATGCGCTATCACTCCATGATCGCATTTGTCAAACGCCATTGCAAAATCTGGATAAATCACAACTGCGTTTTGGTCTTCCAATTCCTCTGTAATTCTGTCATAATGGTACAGGAGCTGTGACAGGCATGATTGCCCTGTTCTAAAACCATGCTGGTCTGGGTTATGTTGGTTGTGCTGGTCCATGAAGTTTGTAATCTGCTGTCTCATCACCCTTTCGAAGATTTTTATGATGTGAGAGGTTAAGGCAACTGGTCTGTAATTTTTAGGTAGTGCTCTACTACTTCCCTTATGCAAAGAACCTATGTCTGCACTCTTTAAGGTCTCCAGTATTTCACCTAGATCTAAGCTCTTTCTCCAAAGAATACTGAGGGCTCGTGCTAGTGGTACTTTGCACTTCTTTATAGAGCATTCCATGAATATGGTCCAGGTGCTATATTCTGTTGAAATATTCTGCAAACTTGTGTATTACAAGAAATATCTTGTCTGATAGATGTGATGAATGGTTTTGGAAACTGACAAGTTGAAGAATTGAGACACTTATGTAGCATATGGGAATCTTTATTGAAGAAATGTTTTGCCACACAGTGGCTTCATCAGTCTTATACAAAGCAGGAAGATATAAGGAGAAGAGGAGTTGAGGTAATCAGTCCCTCAGCCTGAAGTCAATGTGTTCAGTCCATCAATCTTGTAGAAAGTACAGCACAGGGCCATAGCAGTGGCTTCTATACTGTAGTCGGGTCAGGCGAAGCAGGAGGAGGCGGGGTCATAGTGGAACCATCCACTAGTCGAAGTAGGTCTTTGTTCAAAGACTGGACAAGTTATGAAGAATTCTTTGCATCATCATGGGATCTTTATACAAAACATTCTTCATAACTTGTCCAATCTTTGAACGAAGACCTACTTAGACTAGTGGATGGTTCCACTATGATCCCGCCTCTTCCTGCTTCGTCTCACCTGACTACAGTATAGAAGCCACTGCTACGGCACTGTGCTGTACATTCTACAAGATTGATGGACTGAACACATCGAAAACTGGTACACAAGCCCCTTACTCGGTGATTTCTTGTGAGTGAACATAACAGACTTATGTGGCACAGTGCGTGGAAGTTGTAAGCATATGCCTAGGTTCAACGCAGGCACTCACAGAAGTGAGGTGCAGGCATTTGCTACCAATGACATCATGGCATTTCGGCAGCAGGACAAACATGATGTCACATTGTTGACATCAGTTCACCGACACAAAATGGCAGACACTGGCAGGCAGAATAGAGAGACCAATGAACCCATTCTAAAACCTGCAGCTGTGATGGACTACAACCTCAATATGCACTTAGTGCACAAATGTGACATGCAGACTGGGTTTGCTGATTGAGTTCACAAAAGTTATAAGTGGTACATAAAACTCTTTTTTCCCATCTTCTTGATATTTCCATGCTGAATGCTTATAATAAGCATAAGTTGAAGACTAACAACAAACCCAAATATGGTGAATTTTGTTTGACAGTCGTTAGACAACACCTGCAATAGACCAGCGCCCATGAAATTAACAACACATACCCTCTCGTCTGAGGCCTGTTGATCACTACCCCATACAACTGCCTCCTACTACTTTCAAGAAAACTTCTCAGAAGTGTTATGTCTGTGCACATACCACAAAACGCCCACAAAAACGAAGCAGCACTCGTTTTATGTGAGGAGTGTAAAATACCACTGTGCATATACCCATGTTTCAAAGAATTCCACAAGCTGCAGCAGTTCTAGGAAAGCATCCAGTGACTGTATATATGTATATACATTACATATGGTAGTAGGTTGGTAGACAGCAACCACCCAGGGAAGTACTACCGTCCTGCCAGATGACTGTGAAACAAAAACCTGTAACTGTTTTGCATGATGGTAGGATTGCTGGTTTCTTTTTCTGTCTCATAAAACACGCTAGATAACAGGGATATCTTGCTACTCCTACTTACACTTTGGTCCCACTTCACAGACACGCACATGCATATATATATATATATACATACATCTAGGTTTTTCTCCTTTTTCTAAATAGCTCTTGTTCTTTTTTATTTCTTCTATTGTCCATGGGGAA